CCCCTTCCCCCCCCCGGAACCCGCGGCCCCCCAACCCCCCCCCCCCCCCCCCCGAACACCCCCCCGCCAGGTCCTCGCCAACCTCGAGTACCGCGAGACGGCCAACCGGGAGGCGGAGAAGCAGAAGGAGCTTGACGCGGTGCGGCAGAGTAGCCGCGGCGCAGCCCCGCCCCCCTCTGTCGCTCCTCGACGGCTCTCTCCCCCTTCCTTACGCAAACACACGACACTTGGCCCAAGATCGCACAAGCACAGGCAGTCGAGAAGGGAGAGAGCAGCGACGACAGTCAGAAGGCAGCACCGGGTCCCGGGAAGGCGAATGCGATGACGCGGCCTCTAGTGTGGCCCCCTCCCTCGCAGGTGCGACAGAGCATCTCCCCATATCTCCCCATATCTCCCCATATCTCCCCACATCTCCTCCCTCGCAGGTGCGACAGAGCATCTCCCCATATCTCCCCATATCTCCCCATATCTCCCCATATCTCCCCACATCTCCCCACATCTCCTCCCTCGCAGGTGCGACAGAGCATCTCCCCATATCTCCCCATATCTCCCCATATCTCCCCACATCTCCCCACATCTCCTCCCTCGCAGGTGCGACAGAGCATCCGCGACCTGCCGGGCGGCGGTGAGAGACACTTCCTAGACACTTCCTAGCCACTTCCTAGACACTTCCTAGACACTTCCTAGACACTTCCTAGACACTTCCTAGACACTTCCTAGACACTTCATAGACACTTCCTAGACACTTCCTAGACACCTCCTAGACACCTCCTAGACACGTCCTAGACACTTCCTAGACACTTCCTAGACACTTCCTAGACACTTCCTAGACACTTCCTAGACACTTCCTAGACACGTCCTAGACTGCCGGGCGGCGGTGCCGTCGAGCCCGCGCGACGGACGAGACTCTCAACTCGTGGTGAAGGATTGATGAACTCATCAACTAGGGGCCGTCGAGCCCGAGATCGACGAGGTCCAGGCCTCCATCAACAAGAAGGAGCGATCGAGCGATCCCGCGCCTCTCGCCTCGCAAGGACGGGGTGTGCGAAGTCTTCAGACGCCACGGCTGTAGGTGCTCGAGATTCAGCGCAGCTCGGAGACACCTCCGAGACACCTCCGAGACACTTCCGAGACACCTCCTGCTGTAGGAGCTCGAGATTCAGCGCAGCTCCGGCGCGGTCGAGACGATTGGGTCGCGGCTCAAGGAGACGCGCCACCAGCCAGGAGGGAAAAAGGGAATGCGCCCTCTCAGCGTGTTTCTTTCGCTTCTACAGGAGACGCGCACGCAGCTCAACGAGCACCGCTACCGGCACATCGACGACCGGCACGCCAAGAAGCTGATCGAGGTGAAGACGGTCTCTCTCGTCATCGGCGACCTCGACCGCTACTACAAGGCCACTGCCGAGACACTCCCTAGACACTTCCTAGACACCTCCGAGACACTTCCGAGACACTTCCGAGACACCTCCGAGACACTTCCGAGACACTTCCGAGACACTCCCTAGACACTTCCTAGACACCTCCGAGACACCTCCGAGACACGTCCGAGACACCTCCTAGACACCTCCTAGACACCTCCTAGACACCTCCTAGACACTCCCTAGACACTTCCTAGACACTTCCTAGACACCCCCGAGACACTTCCGAGACACTTCCGAGGCACTTCCGAGACACTTCCGAGACACTCCCTAGACACTCCCTAGACACTTCCGAGACACCTCCGAGACACTTCCGAGACACTTCCGAGACACTCCCTAGACACTTCCTAGACACTTCCGAGACACCTCCGAGACACTTCCGAGACACTTCCGAGACACTCCCTAGACACTTCCTAGACACGTCCGAGACACGTCCGAGACACGTCCGAGACACGTCCGAGACACCTCCGAGACACTTCCGAGACACTTCCGAGACACTTCCGAGACACGTCCGAGACACTTCCGAGACACCTCCGAGACACGTCCGAGACACGTCCGAGACACCTCCGAGACACGTCCGAGACTCGTCCGAGACTCGTCCGAGACTCGTCCATGACCTCGACCGACACTACAAGGCGCTCGACCGCGCGCTGATCCGCTTCCACCAGACAAAGATGGAGGAGATCAACCGCTCGACCAAGGAGCTGTGGAACAAGACCTACAAGGGCTCCGACATCGACGGGATCGAGATCAAGTCTGAGCACGAGGGGGGCACCGACTCGGGCGCTGTGAAGAGCGTCTCTGCACACCTCCTGCTGTGAATAGGTCCGAGCACGAGGGGTACACCGACTCGGGCGCGCGCAAGCACTCGTACCGCGTGATGATGCGCAAGGGCGACAACCTGCTCGACATGCTGAACCTTCTAGGAGCCTTCTAGGAGCCTTCTAGGAACCTTCTAGGTGACAACCTGCTCGACATGCGCGGCCGCTGCTCCGCGGGGCAGAAGGTGCCAGCTCGCCCTGGCCGCTCCTCCGGCGGAAGAGAGGGCTGAGACTCGATCGCCCATGGGCCACTCGCTCGCCAGGTGCTCGCCTGCCTCGTCATCCGGCTCGCCCTCGCCGAGTCGTTTTGCATCAACTGCGGCATCCTGGCGCTCGACGAGCCGTCGACCAACCTCGACACGGCCAACGCCGAGGCCTTCGCCTCCGCGCTGCACGAGGTGATCGAGCACCGCAAGCAGCAAAAGAACTTCCAGCTCGTCGTCATCACGCACGACGAGAAGTTCGTCAAGAGCCTCGGCGCCTCGGGCTACTGCAACCACTACTACCGCGTCTCCAAGCAGACGACGGGCGGCGAGATCCACTCTGCTATCGAGCAGGTGGCCATCTCGCAGTTTGACTGAGAGGCGGCGCGGCGCCGCGGAGCAGGAACGAGGAAGGGTTCTGTTTACATTGAATGTACGTTGCGCGGGCGCGTTCATGTGGGCCTTGGAGAGGGGCAGGTGTGTTTTCCGGTACGGAGCACGACACAAACAGCCGGGGAGAGCGGAGTGCGGGGAGACAAAAGGTCAAGGACCCGCGAGTCTCGCGCACCTTGAGGGGCGGGGATACGGGGTGTGGAGGGTGAGTTGACCAGGGGGTTGTGCGCCGGGCCCTCCTGCTCCGCCGCAGGCGCCTGTTGATAGGTCCATGTGATAGCCCTGGATGGGCAATGCATACGCCTCACTGGACCTCAGATCGCCCGACCGCGTCCCGGTGCTCTGCCGTCGGATTTGTGACGCCGCCACACCGCGCCGCGGCCGGGGGCCCTCCGGAGGCCGAGGATGGCCGTGGCGGACCGGGACGAGCTCTGGGAGGGGGAGTGTCAGTGAGTATATTGTAGAGACTAACCATGTGCACAATAACTCTCAGTCTAGCTAAGCGAGGGGAGGCGATTCCGGGGCCGTACAGCAGCTTGACGGCGTGCTTCGCCGGCGTGCGTCCCGGGGAGCGGTGCCGGAGCGCGGCGAAATCGGGGGACACCGTCACCGACGAGCGCGTTGGAGTATTCACTCCGGACAAAGACGGGTACACGCACACGAGCCGCGGTCGTATACCCGTCATAGCGGCGAGGCGCGGGACCGTCTGTGGCGAAGTGGGTCGCGTCCCCCGATTTCGGTCAACCCAGCATCCACACCCTTTATGCGCGCCTTGCCCCTTGCGCGGAAAACTAAGAGAGAAACCTCTGCGCCATCGGAAACGGGTATTACGTACTGTAGGTCAAGGTGAGCATGTAAACCTTCCCAAAGAATGCCCCCGAGTTCATTTTAATAATCTAGGTCTAGGGTATCCAGGCTCCGGGCCGGTGTGCGGGGAGCGAACCTTAGCGACCGCCCAGAAGCTTTCTGAGCGAACCAATCGGGCCAGGATCATCAGTGTATGTCCCCTCCACACCATCGTGGGCGTTTGAGCGATATTTGAGGAGCACCGCCACTATGAAGTTCGGCCGGGTGGTCTGCAGACCCCCCCCCCCCCCCAGCAGCAGAGCGTATGATGTAACATACTTGACACCCCCCCTTGGCACTTGAAGCACTTGGCGCCTTGTGATTTTCGTGCGAAGCTGCGGATCTCGGCCCGCCGTCCTCCGCTCGCGCCGGCCGCCCATGCGCTCGCGGGGCTCCCCGACGCGGCTGGCCTCGTGCTGATGGACCCAGCCGAGGTGCCCAATGGAGCGGCGCCGACGCGCCCCGCGCGACCACCAGCCAGCTTTTCGAGGGGCCCGAGGACGGTGCGTCGAGAGAGCTGACACTCAAAGTAGCTGTCGAGTTTTTTGCCTCTTTTTGAGCGCTGCTGCTGCACACCCAGCCCACCAGTGATACGAGACGCACCGGATTCAACCCTGGCAGCGCTTGACCGCCACCCCGGTGACCGCCCACAGGTGGCTGTTCGCGGGCGCGGCGAGCGTGCCGCTTGAGCGGACCAGGCTGAAGCCACCTCAGGACCCCACCTCGAGCCGGTGGCGCCACCCGCGACGCTGTCCGCCTTCGCCGCGCCAGCCGCCGGCTCGCTGCAGCCGCAGCGCGCGGTACCCGACCACCGGCGCGCCCGCCCGCTCGCCTCCTGCGCGCCTCACACACAGTGATCACCTCGCGAGCGGCCGACAAAGTGAGCGCACGACCACCTCCCTCTCACTCACGCTCTGACCGATGCTCAGCCCGTTTGTTCTCGCCGAGAGGGCGCTCAGGCAACCATCGCTGGCCTCTCGGCCGGCTCACGGCCGCTCAAAAGGTCGCGGACCCGCCCGTCGCTTGCCGCCCAGCGTGGAGAGCATACGAGGGGTGCGAATACAAGGGGCACAACAGAACACGCTTGGGCTCGTGTCCTCTCACGCTTGAGCTCGTGACCTCTCGAGTGCACTTGCAAGACAAAGATCGGTCTTCCGCTTCTAGCGCTGTGAGTGCCGGCTGCGTCAGCGATGCTGCCGCGAGCAAGCCGAGCAGCAGCCCGAGGACGGCGCACGCCGCCGCGCAGGCCGCGCCGGCGACGCCGTCCGGCCCGCCCAGCAGCGCCGAGGCGGCCCACACGAGCGCAGCAGCGCCGATGCCGGTCGCGGCCGCGGCGGCGAGAGCATACTGAGCAGGCTGCCGTCGAGCGACGAGCCATGCTGGCTCGTCGCAGGCGATGAGATCGAGGAGCCGATCGGAGCGTCGCAGAGGCTGCCGACCACTGTCGTTCGCCCTCGGGCCCAGGGGTGGAAGGCAAGCTTCCTGGCGTTTCTGGCGAGCGTCCAGACGTCGCAGAGCATCCGGCAGGCGCGCAGCGACCCAAATTTTTGCTCACCGCACGGCCGTGCGAGCCGTCGGTCGGTGGTGATGGTCGGCGTCGGCGCGCGCCGACCGACGCGGCGGCGGTGGGCGTCATGTGGCGCGTTTTGGGACTAGACATTGTCCGAATTGCGGCGGACGTCCCTCGCCAAGAGTACAAACAAGGGCACAACGACAACCTCGAGAGGACACATGCGCCCGTGAATCAGCCGTGAGCCCCCCTCCAACCCACCCGCGCTAGGTCTCGGGGGACGCAGGGGTCAGCCCCGCGCGACCTCGGAAACTAGCCGGGGCAGTCGCTGAGCCGCACCGGAGAGGCCTCTGTTCCGAGTCTCCTGAGCCGGCCGCCACCTGCCCCGCGCCACAGTCTGCCCCCCCCCCCCACCCCCCCGAGCTCTTCTCCGCTTGTTGGCCCGCCTGAGCACGCCCGGGTGTGCACGCCTTTCGACGACCGTGTGTGCCTCGCTGCTTCCGAGCGGTACCCGCCCATGTCCAGTCTGCTTGGCTGGTCGCTGGAGCCGGGCCCGGACACAATATATGTTTGAGAAAAACGGCACCCGTTAGATAAAGTACAGATTACCCTTTTGTCTTCCCAGCCTGCGAGCGCACTTTTTGCTCAATTACCCTCAATCCACCTGAGCTTTTTTTCAATAAGTATTTTCGTTTTCACATGGTTGTCTCTCCACTCTCGCAGTACGCAGACGCGCAGAGTCGCACCCAGAGTTTCACACCGTGACGCACACACACACGAGTCACGACACACGTGTGAAATTACCACTCTCTCTGCCTGCGTCTCGAGCCCTAAGATACGTGCCCGGATAGTACCTTACTGAAAGCATTCCGAATCATAAAGGTGTGCCTTACTTAGAGCCGTATATGGCTCTCATCCGTGTAGAGCAGGCGGACATCGCTTCCAAGGAGGGGGGCGCACTTCTACTCACACCACATGCTAGGGGGGGGGTCCGACCCCCCCTGAGGGAGGGTGTAGAGGATGTAGAGTGTAGAGCGCTGTAGAGCTGTAGAGATGTAGAGCGCTCTGGAGCGCTGTAGAGCGCTGTAGAGCTGTAGAGCTCTACATCCGCCGCGGGACGAACTGCGTGCGTTGTAGAGCGATGTAGAGGCGCTCTACAACGTGAAATCTCTACAACAAACTCTACATCAAAAGCGGCGAACGAGGCACGGTCGCTCTCCGACATGAGGCGCGTTGCACTCGCCAGTGCTGCCCTGGCCTTCTGTCTGCCCGCCCAATGGGTGGGAGGTGCCTCTGCTGCTGTGGCATGCCTCACGGCTGCGACTGGCCGGCGCCTCGGCGCGTCAGCTCGGCTCGGCGTAGCGATAGTGGCCAGCGCAACTCGCCTGGACTCAACGCTCAGCCAGGAGCTCCCGCACGCGCTGGCGCGAGTCATGGCGCATGCAACGCGTCTGAATGCTCGCCTCGCCTTGCGCAAATGCGACCGTCCTCGCCGCCGACAGTCCATCGCCTGCTAAAGAAGCACTGCGACGAATGCGGCACCGGCGACGCATGGCAGGCTGGTCATGACGCAGTTATGGGGTGTTGTGTGCCATCAGAGTGACTCTCTGTGTGTCAGGGATAGTCAGGGCCGTCCATCAGAGCTCCAGTAAGCTCGGAGACACCCCATTAGTGCGACTCGACCTCTTTGAGTCACTGCCTTCCCGGCGGGTGGCTTGGCTGTAGAGCCTCTACAACAAACTCTACAACAAAATCGCGCTCTACATCGCTCTACAACGCACGCAGTTCGTCCCGTGCCCGATGTAGAGCTCTACAGCTCTACAGCGCTCCAGAGCGCTCTACATCTCTACAGCTCTACAGCGCTCTACACTCTACATCCTCTACACCCTCCCTCAGGACCCCCCCCCAGAGGCTTCACCACAAGCTAGGGGGGGAGGTCCGCCCCCCCCCAGAGGCTTCACCAAATGGGGGGGTAGACTTGGTAGACCGCGGTAGACTGATCTAGCCCTTTTTCAGCCGCTAGTGTCGGCGGCGCGGCTCCATGGCCACCCCCTCCCGTCAAGCACTGCGCCTCCAGATTCAGGAACATACTGTGCTCAATGTCCACGCCCGGCGGGTCCGGTTGGGAGAAGCAGGCTGCAGTAAACCCCACAGCGGCACAGATCGGCTCGATGTAGTCGCGGCACTTCTTCTCGCACGCGTCGGACGGGACGGCAAAGCTGGCGGTTGGCGAGTCGGCGGGGCACGGCGGGCTGGGGCCCGTGCCTCCGATGGGGCACTTGGTCCACTCCTCGCCGCACGGAAACTTGCACGCCTGTTTATGCACAGAGGGGAGCAATGAGTGGAACACGTGTCATCTCGAGTGCTGGCTGGAGTACAGAAAGTGGAGGGAGCATCTAGGCTTTGCGGACCCACTGCCCGACGCCGGTGGCGGTGACGGGGTAGCCGCCGTGTGCGATGCACCCCTCGGGGCCTGGGTCCGGCCGAGGTGCGAAAGACAAGGCCACTCCGAGGAGCCACCACGCCATGGCCGCGCAGCCTCAGTTGGGTCGTCGCCTGAGCACAACAGATGAGGCTGAGCTGTGAGTCTGTAGTCGTCAGCGTCGGGGGTGCCAGAGGCGCATGGCTGAGGTCATGGCCGCGGCTGGCGTGTGCAGGCGTGGCGTCGAATTGACGCGGCTGCAGGTGCGGGCGGTCGCGATCGTCAGAGAGGGCCGGGGAGAGCGCACGCCTGGGGCTGCCTGACGCTTGGGCCGAGGCCGAGGAGTTTGACGATGAATTTCAGCGTTTTAGAATCTTACAAAAATAACTCACTCGCTCAGCGGAGCTGGGAATAGGACCGCCGCAAGCGGCGTGGCGTGGAGCGGTTGAGCATCCCTCCGGGGGCCCCTCTGCGCCGGGGAGGCGTTGTTGGAGGCTAGGACGCAAGCGTCCGTCGCCCTTTTCAAACTCGGGGCCCACTCCGCTACGCTCCGACCCGAATTTGGAGGGCCTAAAAATTTAAGGTGTTGCTGCGCAAAAGGGGTCGGACACAGGGCGCAGCTCATGCTAAGAGCTAGAAGAGGAGATAGAGAGACAACCACCCTGCGGTTATTGCGTACACCAACACCACAAAAGCTCTCTCTCTCCTGTCCTCACTCACTCCAGGGGGGTCACAACTACTGAGTCCTTCGAGTTGCCGACCGAGATGATATGGTGTGGCTCGCCGCTCTCGAGCCAGCCGAGCAGATGGAAGTGAATCTGCCCCCTCCCCGCCGCTCCCTGGTCCCGGAAGCGACGGCGGAAGGCGTGGTGGATCTTTGAGTTTATTTCATGATGGACTACAAGGACTGGGGGGTTCAATCGGGAGGCAGGGGGTTCAACCAGGCGACGGTGGACATTGGGCCATCGCGGGGACGGGTCCGTCCGGAGGGCGACCCCGGCAGATCCGGATGGTCTTCACGCCGGGGTCCCGTACCATGCGGAATCGACCCTATGTATGTATGACCCTATCCAGTGCTCAAGTGCTCAAGTGAACAGCCGTGAATGCCGGGGCCCGCCCCCCGTGTGTACCAGTTGTATCGCCGCTGTGGGTGGCTGGGCGTTCGTGTGTGTATGTTGCCCGGCGCCCGCCAGAGCGCTCGCGGCTCGCGTAAGTCCACGTCGACAGGCCTCCTCTCCTTCATCGCGCTCGTCCTGTTTGCAACCTTCTTCATCGTCACCGCCGCCTACGTGCTCGAGCGCTCGGACGCGGTCACGAGCGGCTCTGAGCGGCAGCAGAAGCGGCAGCGGCACCTCGCAGCGGCGCCGGAGGTGGCCTTCACGGGCGCCGCCGCACTGGCGGTGGGGGCCTCCGAAGCGCCGGCCGACGATTCGCCTGCCGACGATTCGCCTGCCAAAGCCTCCGCCGAGGCCTCCGCGCCACCGGACCGCGGCGCACCCTCGGGCGGCAGTCTCTCCGGGCTGCAGCCGCACCCGGAGCCGGCGTGCGCCGCGCTCCTCAAGGAGAGCGCCGACGTGATGTTCATGGTGGTTGGCGGGCGAGGCTACCACGACGTGCGGACGAGGGTCATCCTCCGCTCGTGGGCGCGCTGCCTCGCCCACTTCGGCACACCCTAACCCTAACCCTAACCCTGACCCTGACCCTGACCCTGACCCTGACCCTACCCCAAGGCGCGCTGCCTCGCCCACGTGCTTGTCTTCACCGACCCGTCGCTCGACGTGGGCGAGTACCTCCCCTGCCCCCGCGGTACCCGGACCCATACCCTACCCCCACGGTACCCGAACCCTAGGCGAGTACCTCTCGCCCCACCGGTCCGTCTACCTGCTCGCCGGCGACGCGTGGCGGCGGCGGCCCTACCTGCCGATGTCCCACATGGACGCGCTGCACCGCACGATCACGCGCGCCCCCACTCGACCGCCGCCAACCTGTCCCCACGGCACCCCTCCCCTACCCCCGCGGTACCCGAACCCTAGGCGCCCCCACTCGACCGCCGCCAACCTGTCCTGGTACTTTTTGGTCTCGGACCGCACGTTTGTCGACGTGCGGCCGCTGCTGCGCACCGTCGCCGCGCTCCGGCCGTCGGCAAAGGCGTACTACGGCGCCATCGCGGAGTCGTCGCACAAGGAGTCGTTTGGCTTCCACGAGTACGTCGACCTGAACGGCGGCGTGCTCCTCGCGGCGGGTGGAGGGGTGGACTAGTGACCGAGCCAGTTCCATCGACTGAGTAGGCGGCGTGCTCCTGTCGGCGGAGCTGATGCGAAGGGTGGCCGACCCGCAGGCTTGCTCGAGATCGGCCGAGATGGCCCGAGATCGCGATCTCGGGGGGC